TGGCCTCCAACCTAATAGCGATGGCCTCCAACTAGTAGCTTCTTGTTCCTAGTAGCATTGGCCTCCAGCCTAGTAGCGATGGCCTCCACCTAGTAGCTTCTTGTTACTAGTAATGGCCTGCAGCCTAGTAGCCTTGGCCTCCACCTAGTAGCTTCTTGTTACTAGTAGTAATGGCCTCCAACGTATATAGTAGCGATGGCCTCCACCTAGTAGCTTCTTGTTACTAGTAGTGATGGCCTCATACCTAACAGCGAAGGCCTCCACCTAGTAGCTTCTTGTTACTAGTAGTAATGGTCTCCAACCTAATAGCGATGGCCTCCACCTAGTAGCTTCTTGTTACTAGTAGTAATGGCCTCCAACCTAACAGCGATGGCCTCCACCTAGTAGCTTCTTGTTACTAGTAGTAATGGCCTCTAACCTAACAGTGATGGCCTCCAGATAGTAGTTTCTTGTTACTAGTAGTAATGGCCTCCAACCTAATAGCGATGGCCTCCACCTAGTAGCTTCTTGCTACTAGTAGTAATGGCCTCCAACCTAACAGCGATGGCCTCCACCTAGCACAAATCCGTTTGGAAGGGAGCAAAACACATGATTGAGCAAACCAAAGGTAGGAGCATCCAAGAGATGAATCGATCAAAAGGTCGATGGCCAAAAAACATCTTACTTAGTTGATGCTTGGTAGATCATGGAACATCCTCTGTGGAGTCCAAGCTCTTTGCTTTTCACATCTTTGGCAAACAACGTTTGATCATGATTGTACAAAAAAACCGTTTGCAAATGTTTTTCTTCTGCTAGTAAGCTTGCTTGTTTGAAGGTCGCCGCTGCCGTTCGTCCAGGGCCCCTAGTCCTTGCTCGGTCACATCCCAAAAAACTACTGTACATATCCATAAAGGCCATCCTGCTAACCCAACATCTAGCCCAACTGCTTGTGGAAGCCAACTTTCTGTGGATCTTTCCCTCCACATGGAACATACAAACCAGTGGTATCACCAGCAAAATTCATGCAGTGGTAGGTCGTAGCCTCTTCGCTCGCTCGATCTCCCACCTTGCGCCGCCAGCGGAGTGCACTGGGCTATAGCCGCCTGGTCGGAGCGAAGGTGGTATGCCGCTATTGGAAAGCAAACTGGAGAATCAGAAATTCACACATCATACTGATTGGATAAACTATGTCGTTTCATGCAGATGGATCTCATCGAAGGATCAATCACCAAGCTGTTTTCCCTCGAAAATGCAAGCCATACCACGGCTTAGGAACATTAAGAAAACACATCTGTGAGTACTGAGGTCTCACAGGGGCCCACAAGTTGACTCACATTAGCGGAACATGATTGTTGCAAATGACATCCACGGATTAGATCTTCAGTATCATTCGAATGTGTTGCGACAGTTCCTGATGTTCAATACATAAAGGACTTGAACTATGTGTATATATATATACTGAAGGGGATAATGAAGGTCATGTTCTACAACAGGGAGAGGGATATAAACACACCAAATAGACCAACATTTTGGGCCCTTCGGGTACCAATCCATTTCCCAGGCCAACACCTTCGATCAACGACGCTTCGAGTGTCGTCGCCTGCCCATCCAGCTGTCGGAGCGCCTGTCGGAGCGCCTGTCGGAGCGCCTGTCGTCTGGGCGTCTTCCGCGTCTGTCCGTACTGGTCGAACGAGGTCCATGCTGGTCGAACGGTTCGGTATCTGTCCGGCAGATTTGAGTGAAGCTGTAAGCAATTCAACAATTGAGAACATAAGAACATACTCAGCGGAATCAGTGGATTTATAAACATATTTCATATGGTAAGGCCAGAATCCTTGATTAAAAAAGAGTCAAAAAAATCGAGAAAGTCAAATGGATAAGTCAAAGTCAAAAAAAACAAATTGACAAGTCAAAACAAAGTCGAAAAACAAAACAAACAAAAACGTAGAAAAAAATAGTGCAAAAATAGACCACTGCTCAAAAAATAACCAAAATATTCAAAAACGTCAAAAAAGATCGAACAAATATTAATATATATATATATCAAAAACATTGAAAAAACAAACACATTAAAAAAAAGTCAACCACTCGAAAAAGTACTGTAAAAAAACTGTCAAAAAACGTCGGAATTTAAAACAACAAAAACTATAAAATTAGAAACACACAAGTAAAGAAAAGATCGAATCTGGGGGATCCCAGCGGATCCCAGCGGATATCCGTAAGAAAACAACAAATATCGTTCTCCCAGCGGATCCAGTGGTCACTGTTCCAAAAAGCGGATTCTGACCAAACCCCTGGTGCCTTTGAAACCAATCTGCAAGGTCGTTTTCACCGGGGTTTATCCAACAGCCGGAGGCCTGCACCGCCCCAGCCTGCAGCCGCCTCACGAGAGACGCCAATATGTCGGTAGTCGGGCTTTGGCCCTTCATCAAGTCAAGCAACAAGAGACGACGAGCGGCGATGGCCTCCAAGCCACTTGAAGAAACAAACATGGTTTGGACAAACATGCCTTGTTTTTAGAGGAGAGCCTTCTTCCGGCGAGAGACCGGCTTCCAATGATATGCTTGTTCTTAAGAACATAAGTTCAGCAAGCAGCCAATTAAGCCGCCAAACAATGAGCAACCAACTGACTGATCAACAACTGGGACAACTTCATAAGCCAAAGAATCCACCACCAAGCAAGAACCGGAACCAATGGACCAAGCAATCAATCAACAATGGTAGCAAGCATGCAACCAATCAACATCAATCAACATCAATCAACATCAATCAACATCAATCAA